GGCCTCGATCTCAGCAGTGGACAGACGATGTCCAGAAACGTTGACAACATCGTCGACACGACCGCGGATCCAGTAGTAGCCGTCGTGATCACGGCCAGCACCGTCTCCGGTGAACTATGTATGAGTTAGTATAAATCCCGTCAAGTCAGGCTGCGAGGCGTCTTACGTAGTAACCCTTGTAAACATTCAAGTAAGTGTCCATGTAACGCTTGTGGGCACCCCACACGGTGCGGGCCATGCTGGGCCACGGCTGCTTGAAGGCCAAAACACCCTCGACATCGTTGCCAAGAATCTCTTCTCCGGAGACGGGGTCGATAATGGCGGGTTCGATACCGAAGAAGGGAAGGGAAGCACTGCCGGGCTTGGTGGGGGTAATACCGCCGAGAGGGGTGATGACATTTGAGCCGGTCTCGGTTTGCCAGTATGTCTGTAGAGTCAAAAATTAGAAGTTATTCCAAAAGGTTCAAGGGGTAGGGGAAACGAACGTCGCAGATGTGAGCTTCCTCCTTGCCAACAGACTCGAAGTACCACTTCCAGACTTCCGCGGCAATGGGCTCTCCGACTGAGCCAAGAATACGCAGACTTCTCATCTTGTGGTGAATGTGCTCATCTCCAGCGCGCTTCAACAGACGCAGGGCGGTGGGTGCAACGTAGAATTGTGTGACGTCGTGCTTGTCAATAACATCCCAGTAGCGGGAGAAGTTAGGATAGGCGGGAGTACTCTCGAACACGACGGTGGCACAGCCAAGCAATAGAGGGGCGTACACGACATAGGTGTGACCAGTGATCCAACCGACATCACCGCCGCAGAAGTAGCGATCATCATCGTGGATATCAAACACGTACTTTCCGGTCATGGCAGCACCGAGCAGGTAGCCAGCAGTGGTGTGCATAACACCCTTGGGCTTACCGGTGGAACCGGAAGTGTAGAGAAGGAAGAGGGGGTCCTCGGAGCTGACCGGCTCGGGGGCGAGGTAGTTGGGGTACTTCTCGACCTCCTCGTGCCACCAAATGTCACGGCCAGCGGTCCAGGGCACCTCGGCACCGGTGCGCTTGAACACCAGCACGGTGTGCACATCGGGACACTGCTTCATAGCCTCATCCACAATCTTCTTGGTGCCAATGACCTTGCCACCGCGCTTGCCCTCGTCGGAGGTAATGACGACCTTGGAGGCGGCATCCAGAACACGGTCCCGGAGGGAGTCGGAGGAGAAACCAGCGAAGACGACGGAGTGCACGGCACCAATACGCGAGCAAGCCAGGAAAGCGATCACGGCCTCGGGAATCATGGGTAGGTAGATGCCGACCGTGTCACCCTTCTTGACACCACGCTCCTTGAGAGTCCAGGCAACCCGGGAGACCTCGCGCATAAGCTCTCCGTAGGTGATCTTGCGGCCCTCATTGGGCTCATCGGCCTCGTAAATAATGGCGACCTTATCTGGGTTCTTGAGGGCGTGACGATCGACACAGTTGAAAGATGCGTTCAACCGACCTTCGACGAACCAGGCATTGTCGCCGTTCTCGAACGAGCCGTGGTGTGTGGTTTCAAAATCTTTGTCGAATGTGAGGAGCTCGCGGGCCATGCGGGCCCAGAAAGTATCGGGGCTCTTGATTGATTCTTCATAAAGCTTCTTGTACTCGTCGATATCCTTAAGGTGGGTGCCGGTGGGGTGCTTATCGTGGAACGCCTTGGGGACGTGGAAAGTATCGACCTCGTGTGCTTCATGCACCTATATTACCAACTGTTAGCCCATGATCCTTTCACCAGAGCTACGCGGATCTGGTCCGGTCACGAGGTAGGTGATTCTTACCACTGAGGGCTTGGGAGGCTGAATAGGGCCGTCCGACATGATTGCGGAGTCCAATGGGAGTGATTAATGCAAAAGGAAGTATATAATAAATTCTGTGCGAGATCGGATGTCAGAGGAAATGAGTTGCGAAACGTCCGGAATAAGGAAATGAGAGCAAGGTGGGATGAGCTCTGGAATGCGGATAGTAGTAATGGAACTTACTCTGAGGATTATAAGTTATAAGGAAGTAACAGTTATAGCAATTAGAGAAGAAGAAAAAAGAAGATCCAAGAGGGGATTCACGACAATATTAGTAGTCCAGCTTTCCCGGGTGGATGTGCCACTTCCCTTTGGTCTTTCCATGTCGGTGGTCCGTGCACTTACAATAAAATACTCAAATACCACTCTATCTAGCCGCCTATAAACACATATATTGTACAGATTATCCACTTCGATCTTCAACAGCAAATGAGATACATTCTCAATACATTCAGTCCTAAAATCCATTTCATTGCAAGGAGCACATAGAAGTTTGGGTTCGGCCATGCGGGGGTTGAACATCCCTTCCGTTGCTCCGGGGTAAGCTGCCCCTCCAAATATTTTGACTAAGATCATGGCCGCCACCTTATTGGGGCGTTTCATGTCGGGAAGCAACGCTAGCTCAACCGACTACAGCCTAGGTGTGCCGCATTGAACCCTTTGTCCGAGTCCAATAGGCGGAGGACTATACTCTTGGCTTAGCCAAGGGCCAAGGTCCGGGGATGGTCGCGGGCCAGGGGAGAGCGGGCCACAGGAGACCTGCAAGTCAGATATTCAGAGAGACAAGCGTATGCTCGAGCCCCTCTCTGGTCTTTTGTGCCGGATTCGAATATTTGAGGTCTCCGTACTCCGTAGTCCGTACTCCGTACTCCATACTCCATTACTCCATACGTGCATAAATTGTCCCCCATATTTTACCGGCTATGTTAGAACTTTGACTTTATGTCATAATATGATGTGATGTCAAGGCATTTTCGGACCGAATATCCCCCATACACATATCATTCTCGCCTCCCGGATCGCCGACCTCGGGACCAGGTGATTAGGTACTGCGGGGTGGATGAGTAAGCTATACCCAGGTCTCCATGAACCGTGTCCTTTGTTGGCGCTGATCTGATGATCATAGTACATAGTCTGGAACTTTATACTGAGATGGTACATATATCTTCTTAGTAGGGTAGTAGCCCAGGGTATACTCTATAGATATTCAATATTCAAGTCATATGGGTCCACTGCTTAATTACGCTCTGTATTGACCAGATGTTTTAATTTATCATTTTCAGTGGACATTGTATTGTGGGGAGTAAAATGAGTGTGGGACAAAAGGGGGGTTCCTTGCAGGATTTCTTGTGTCTTACATACCTCCTTTTTTTTTAATTCGAGTTGCATTGGTGGAAATATTTCGATATAAGAAATGATCTTTGAATCTGAAACAATCCGAGGGTTAGGAGTTTATCCTATCTCTTAGCAACCGGTGAGGTGGTAGCCTTATGTGTATATTTGACGGGATCTTCGCCCTGTAACTGCATGAAGATCAGTGGAATGTGAAATACGAAGTGAACCTCGTGAACACACTGCAGCTGCACAAATGCTGTACAAAAAAAAGGTTGTTTACGATCCACCTTTTTTTTTTTCCCACTCGTTTCCCAACAAAAGAGTGATCCAGCCCGAACCCAAGACCTGGACGCTACACCGGGGGATCCGACGGGGTATTAAGCGGTATTTGTACTATTTACAGGAGTACGATCGTTGATTAGCAACGGGAAGAGAGCTCCAGACTGTCCAATGAGCACAATAGAATTTTCGATAACGAAGATTATTGTGGGACGAGTCCCTCAATAGAGTGTGAAAGAGGACCGAGAAAAGACCGCGTTAACTCCATGCTTTACTCGATGCTGCCCCAACAAAATATCCAAGCAATACCCAATTCCGCACTGGGGAAACGGCCTGAATATATAATCTGTTGAGAAAGAAAATAAATATTACGCGTCAAACCCAGTACGGTTCATCGAAAATAATACAAGCGCTAAATCCGTCATGCGGCTACCCTGGTCTGTCGTTACATTTACCTAAACTAGCGGCGCTGGATTGCATGACTTTCAGACGGGCCCAAACGACGAGGGGCATGAAGTTGGAGACCGTTGGAATTAAATCTGGCATAAAAGATAGAACGCTAGACTGGTACATGCATAGTTTTCGGCTACTTTAAGTACTATGTTGTTCTAGTTGTCAATTGTAGGGCCTCATCTCGATCGATATACATAGTCAGCTCTAGACATATGAAGCTTTTTGAATCTGTCTCGAATGATTCGAGTGGGGCGAGCGGATCATTGTCCCCACCTGCGTTCTGGAAGACTTTACAAAATGAAGCCCGCTATGACTTATGGTGGCGAATAGCTTATTTTGAGATGCATGTGGGAAGTGTGATGATCTTTCAAATTCTACAGTCGTGAGGAAACCCGGGAAGTTTGATAATTCCTGGGTAGGTGATATATATTGCCTCTTGCTGGGGTAAGGGATATGCTAAGCAAAAATAAGTTATAAAGGGGTTTCCCGTCGTGTATTGGAATATTTATATTTATTGTTCAGAGTATCCCCCAAAGGTGCGATTTATTAACCTCATGCTCGTTGAATTGAGGATTATTCTAGGGTCTATAGTGGTGTGGTTGTAACTACAATATACAACCCCTAGTCAGTGAGTCCTGCTGTGGACAGCAGGACTGATATGATATGATCAACGTGTTTAGAATTTTTCTTGAACAAAGCTTCAACATGTGCTTCGTCTGCGGCTTGCATTGACATGATTTCTATCCTCGAGTTGGGCTCATAGGGTTAGTACGAAATTTTAGGGTTCGCATATGTTGCGGGAAGGCGTCGCTCCCCGAGCCGTTAACCTTGGAACCAGTAACCTCAGGTCTTTTTGATCAGCAATTATTCGAGTATCCAGTCAAAAAACCTAGCAACTTCGATTATTGTGACCGTATCCACACCTGTTGTGAGAAGGCGCTGTCACAGTCATAGATTGGTGAGTAGTCTCGGGCCTTAACATGCCGATTTTTAACCCAAGAAAGCCCTTTTATATTTCAATCCTTCAACTCCCACCATCTGCTTGAAATCACATAAATTATTTCAATAGACCAGCTGTTTCGCCACTGTCACTTTGTCCACACAATGTACGGCACAAAAGGCGCAACACGCGCCCTTCATTCCAATGCTCGGCGGTTCTCTACTGCTACCCGACTACAAGCACCCTCAGGTCTCAAGATCAATTCGGAGCGCTTGTGGAACACGCTGCATGAGACATGTGAATGGGGCGCTGAGCATCGCTATGGCCAGTATGTTTCTCCCATTCGACCATTGAACGCACTCTAACGATATCACAGAAACCCAACAGATACAGGGATGGCTCGTTTGACTCTCAACGATGATGATGCCCGTGTTCGTCAATGGTTCGCCGCCGAAGTCCAGAAGCTGGGCTGCTCTCTTTCTGTGGACCAGATGGGAAACATGTTTGCGCGGCAATCAGGCCGGTTGAACTCGGCTGCTCCAATGATCGCAATGGGAAGTCACCTCGACACTCAGCCTCGGGGTGGTCGGTATGATGGTATTCTCGGTATCATGGCTGCACTTGAGATCCTTCGGACGATGAAGGAGAGTGGGTTCCAAACTAACTATGATGTCGGAGTGGTCAACTGGACTAAGTAAGCATCAAACTTTGTTCTGTCGTGCCTGCCATTTAGGATTGTTGTTAACCACAAAACCACAGCGAGGAAGGTGCGCGATTTCCCAAATCAATGTGTTCTTCGGGTGTGTGGGCAGGTGCCATCCCGATCCAAAAAGCTTGGGACTTGCGCGATATTCACGATCCTAATGTGACTCTCCGCTCCGAGCTTGAAAGACATGGATATCTGGGCGACATTGCTTGTTCTAGCGATCCAGCGACCGGATACCCACTCGGAGCCCATTTCGAGCTGCACATTGAACAGGGCCCAATTCTCCCAGGAAACAACCGATCAATTGGCGTTGTTCAGGGTGCCCAGGGATACAGATGGTTGACTATGACCGTTCACGGGAAGGATGCTCACACCGGAACAACACCTTTTAGTGCCCGCCAGGATCCATTGCTTGCGTCGTCTAGGATGATTGCTGCTTCGCATGATATTGCTAAGGGACACGACGCACTGGCTTCGACTGGTATTATTAGAGTTCCATCGAACGCATCTACGAACACCGTCTCATCGCAAGTGACTTTCACTCTTGATATCCGACACCCCCAGGATAGTGTGGTACACGCCGTGCAGGACGAATGCCTCAAGGCATTTGAGGCTATTGCATTGCAAGATGGCAAGGGTGTGTCCTTTGACTGGACGTTGGATACGGACTCACCGGCTGTCAAGTTCGACGACAACTGTGTGGCGTCTATCCAGGCTGCGGCGGATCAGCTGGTTGGCCGTGATCAATCAATGCTCATGACTAGTGGCGCCGGCCATGATACTGTTTATACTAGCAAGCACTGTCCCTCTGCGATGATCTTTGTCCCTTGCCGGGATGGTGTGAGCCACCACCCCACAGAATATTGCAGTCCGCAAGATTGGTAGGTCCCTCTGATTTCCTTGGAGCTTTTTCAAAATCTAACAGTCGCAGTGCTCTGGGTACGCAAGCTCTTCTTGAAGCTGTTGTTCACTACGATCAATTTAGGGTAAAGGCCGAAGGGCAAAAGTAGCCGGCCCTCACCTGGATTTAAATATGCTATATGATAATATATTTTCATTCTAAGACTCCAATCATTACACAAAAAATAAGTATATAGAAAAAAGAAGCTCTCAAATGTGCCTGTACAATTCTACGAAACTGTATACAAGCGCTAGTGCCGAATCCAAAAGAGAGAACCCTCACAATGGAACAAACAGAACAAAAATCCGAAAAACTTCCATCAAATTCCAAAAATATGTAGTTGATGTCGTGAGAAGGCGGAGTCCCCACTCGACCCGACATGTCGTCAGAAGGCGCGATGTCTTTAGAAGGCTCAATTTATCGGAAATGGCACGGCAATAAAGTGTCTGCATTGCGCCAGATCAATTGAACATATACAAATGCACAACATGGCATCACGGCGGTCGATCTACTTCAACCCTGCAGCATCAAATGAGCGCAATACATCCCCGCAAATCGAAGGCCTAACAGCATTCCACCAATCCTTCCCCAACTATGCCCCAACTCCACTAGTCCAACTCCCAGAGCTCGCAGCCGAGCTAGGCGTTGGGAAAGTCCTCGTGAAAGATGAGAGCAACCGGTTCGGCCTTCCATCTTTCAAAGTTTTGGGCGCGTCATGGGGCTGTTTCCGAGCAATTGCAGCGCAACTCGGCCTGCCTTCCACGGTCTCGCTCGATGAACTCTTAATCCGGGCAAAAGAAGCCTCGATTGTCTTGACGACAGCGTCGATGGGGAACCATGGACGGGCAGTTGCGTTCATGGCTCGACTCCTCGGTATCGAGGCGCGGATTTTCGTTCCTCGGTCTTTGAACCAATGGACTCGGGATCTTATCGCCGGGGAGGGGGCTCGCTTGATCGTCGTCCAGGGCGATTATGATCAGGCGGTGCAGAAGGCTGTCGATGAGGTCCGTGTGGGACAGGGTGTACTTCTTATTCAGGATACTGCGTTTAAAGGGTATGAGGATGTCCCTGCGTGGATTGTGGAGGGGTACTCTACTATGATGCACGAGGTCCAGGATGAACTTGCTCGGCTCGGCCTGTCGGGTAGTATGGTGATTACACCAGCTGGTGTGGGCAGTCTTGCGCATGCGGTCGCGAAGCATTGCAAATCGCAGAGCACACCTATGTCTGTAGTCGTTGTCGAGCCTGACACAGCTGCATGTCTATCTTCTAGCTTGAATGCTGGAAAGCCAGTTACCGTTCAAACTTCTTCCACTATCATGGATGGTATGGACTGTGGCACAGTATCTTCTACTGCCTGGCCCGATATGCAGCGTCTGGTTGATGCCTGCGTCACTGTCTCATCCTACGAGAGCCACTGCGCTGTACAGTATCTGACTTCCAAGTCTGTGGCAGCTGGACCATGTGGAGGTGCATCTTTGGCTGCACTGCGACGATTGGCTACATCAAAGGAGGCTATGTCACTTCTGAACAAGGATTCTGTGGTCATTCTTCTCAGCACTGAAGGCGCGCGCGAGTACCCAGTTCCAAAAGACGTCTCTGTCGACGATGTCGTGGGCTTAACTCAAACTCTCACACAGATCAACTCTTCCAACCCGACCTTGTCTGTAACAGATGGAGTAGGTGAAACTGAAATCGCAAACTATCTCGCCGCCTGGTTTGCCCATCGAGACATCGAATATCACTGGATTGAGAAGGTCGCTGGACGACCATCAATTGTTGGAGTTTTGAGAGGCAGCGGAGGTGGCAAGTCTCTCATGTTCAACGGCCACATTGACACCGTTAGTCTGTCCAGCTATGAGGCAGATCCCCTGTCCGGGTCTATTGGAACCAAAAATGGCAAAGAAGTTATCTTTGGCCGGGGTTGCCTCGATATGAAGGGGGGTTTGGCTGCAGGGTTAGCTGCCCTTGCAGCAACCAAAGCTAGCGGCCGCGTACCTCGTGGCGATGTCATTGTGGCTGCAGTATCAGATGAAGAAGATGCGTCACAGGGAACTCAGGATATCATCGAGGCTGGCTGGCGTGCTGATGCTGCTGTACTTCCTGAGCCAACTCAAGGCGCGATATTTACGGCCCACAAGGGATTCGTGTGGGTGGAAGTTGATATCCTGGGAGTTGCTGCGCACGGGTCCGACCCTTCATCAGGAGAAGATGCCATCCTATATGCCGGATCCTTCTTGCAGGCTTTGGAGAAGTACCAATCTCAGCTCCCAGTAGACGATCTCCTGGGACAGGGCTCGCTACATTGTGGCTTGATTCGGGGTGGCGAAGAGCCTTCATCCTATCCAGACAAATGCACTATCACTGTCGAATTCCGCACTGTCCCAGCCCAAACGGAACAGTCCATCCTAGGAGGTATCAGTGCGCTACTGAAAAAAGTCGCCCAGCAGAAGGCTGGTTTCAAATACGCTGAGCCGCGCATCACCATGTCGCGTCCTACGCAGAAGGTCGCAGCTGATCATCCGTTTGTGCAGAAGGCGATTGCTTGTGCCTCTGCTATGCTAGGGGGCAAGCCTGCTGTTAAGGCTGGTCCATTTTGGACTGATGCCGCCTTGCTTGGTGCTGTTGGTATCCCGTCCATTGTGTATGGCCCAGCAGGAGAGGGCCTTCACGCCAAGGAGGAATGGGTTGAAGTTGAGAGTCTTCAACAGTTTGAAAGGGTGTTTACTCAGCTTGTGCAAGACTTTTGTTATTGAATATAGACGGCTGTATATACCAAGTACGGCTTAGAAGAACATACCCTCATCATTTTGTCATGTTTCCCTTGTATTTCAACGGAATTCCAACCGAAAGATAGTATCTACTTGTCCTCCAACAACGCTCCTTGTGCATGCTTGATATTGTACCTGGTTGGATGTCTTTTTCAGGTATTTCAAAAAAGCATCTAGAACACATCAGCTTACATATAACATCCATGATATCATCTTGGGCCGAAGACATCATATTATTAAAGTCTTATGTCGTCAAGGACAGAGGGCCCATGAGCGGTCGACTATTCTTGTGTGGCCATCAACCTGATACTCCAGTAATGTGATCTTCAAATCCAGGAATCTTAACACGGGTGGAAAGAAATCATTACTTGACAAATTAATTGATTTTAATGGAGAAAACTAGGCGTGGTCGTTGATTCTTGTAATGGAAGTGTTGTGGCTAGTGTTCTTATCGCCACGGGACTGGGGCTGATCGGCAACATCCAGATCGGCCACTTTCGCCAGACGACATCCCACTCGTAATCGCTACTATCTAGCACATCCATCTCGTTATTCCCCAATTACAGCAACTGCGATCTCTTTCCTTGAGGATCCAGCAACGATGGCAGACGAATCACCAGCACAGCGAGCCGCCCGAGTGCGCCGCGAGCGCCGCGAGGCAAAGATCAAGGAAGGAGGCTCAGCGCGCCTGGACAAAATCACCAGTCTCAGCGGACGCACGCCACAAATTGGTACGAAATGAAATCCACATCCCCAGGTCTAGCAAAGGAGCTCCCAATAGCGAAGCAGAGATGCCACCTCATCACCCATACAGTCCAGACAAAGCTAACCAAAGTCAACCACAACAGAGCGCGAAGAAGCCTCCCCATCCCCCCAACCCCAGCGTGCAATCTCCGCATCCCCCTCTCCAGGACCTCAAAACCCTCAGTTCCAACCCTCATCATCGCCCCAACCAGACATGCAGTCACCAGAAGCGATCCGCGCCCAACAGGAAGCGTTCTTCTCAATGCTCCGACAATCCGCACCGGAACCAGGCCAGGGTATACACTCCGACCCGCAAGCGCCAAATAGTCTTCAAGCCCAACAAGAAGCATTCCGCGCGATGTTGAGACAAGCCGGACAGGACCAAGGACAGGGCCAGCCGTCCAGTGACCCAGAAGACCCCACCATCAAACTCCTGAACTCGCTCATGGGTGCTATACCCGGCGGTGACCCCAATGCGCCACCAGGCGCACCCCCAGCCGCCGCAGGAAATCAACCGGCACCTGGATTTTCGCTCGCTACTATTGCGTCAATGTATGGCGTGCCGCCTTTCATTGCTAATATGTTGGGTGGAGCGCCGCCGCCGACAGAGGAGGAGCTGAAGCGTGCTCGGATTTGGAAGACTATGCACACTGTGTTTGCTTTGTCGGTTGCCGTTTACCTGCTGTTTATTATTGGGTCTTCGGTGGCGTTGTTCGGTAGTCCCCCGCCAAAACCTGCGACGGCTCAGAATCCCTTTGCGATCTTTGTGACTGGAGAGTTGTTGTTGACTGGTGGTAAGGTGTTGCTTGGTGGTAAGTCTGGTGGTATGGGAATGGTATTGCAGCTTTTCAGAGATGTCGTGAGGGATGGTAGCCTGCTGCTGTTTATGTTGGGCATGGGGACTTGGTACAATCGCGAATGGCAGACTACGGCATAATGGGATAGCGTCGATATGTAGTTTAGTTAACGATCAGCGCGATATGAGCAAAGGTTTCAATGGCATATATTATGTGATCATTATTTCATTATTCGTATACCCGTGGAAAACATTTGGTCGATGCTAAGCAGACATGTTTACGACGACCCGCTGAGATGGCGGGACCGCGTTGCGTAAAACACCCAAGACAGATGCATCCAGACCCCAATCACCTTCCCATTGATCCATACGAGATCCTTTCTTGAAATGAGCTGCCAGATGCTCTGCCCGGGCGGACCAGGTGGACAGTGAACATCCACAGAATCCACAGCGGCTTTCGACGTTGGCGCCCGATCCACGCCAGGCTTCGAGGTCAGCGATAGGGGCTTTCGTGCAACTGTGGAACTTGCGCAGATGCTGCCATAGATAATCTTTTCGACTGAATGATCGCTCTTGAGCAGGCTTCTCGGCACAGATGTGAAATTCATGCTCTTCCCAATGAGCGGTCGTTGGGAAAAGGACATCGCAGAAGGGGCATCCAGAAGACTGGAGTTCGAACGCTTGTTGAACCTCGTTGAGATTTGGAGTGCAGATCCAGGAGTCAAGGGTGAGATGGACACTTTTCTCGTGGCGGGCCCAGTCGTGTTTCTTCTTGAAGGACTGCGTGCAGAATGTGCA